CAGTACTTCGGCCTAGGGGGGTGGATGGATCAGTAGGGTACCTTGTTTTTGATTGTGCGAATGGGGGGGGTCACCCTGTTTTTGATATCATGAATAGAGGGGGTCACCATGTTTTCCAGAATTCACACACACGCTCATGCATATATTTTTAAAAAATTTATTTCAGAACTAAAGATAAAAAAAGTTAATCATACAAATGTGTTCTTAATAATAACTATTACCCATATTGCCTATAAATTTGTTGATGCAAAAAATGTTATAGGCTAAATATTTTGAGGTTAAAGTTGCCAAATAACTAACAGATTATGCAATGCGACTAGAACCCCAATTATACAGTTTTAAACACATCCCAAGTCCATGTGCTGCTGATATCAGATTATCAGTCCGAAGTCACCATTGTATAAGATATTTACTGGATTTATCCAATTATAACAGGAGACGGAAAGACAACACAGCAATTAGTACAAAGAGCAGTGACAGTTTTTGTTCAGCAAATCAAAAAAGTTAAATTTGTGAAAATGCCGATATATATTTTAAAATAAATGATGAAAAAATAAATAGTTTTTTTGTTTTTTTAACTTTTAAATATGCATATTTTGCTCTGTAAAATACCAAAATCCATAACAAATTTAAGCAAAAGCAAAGTTTCCTTTGTTTTCATAAGCACAGACTGTGCTTCGGGTGTAAAGCTTTCCTGGTCTATAAGATATGAAAGATATTTTAAATCCAACTTGGTTTTCAAAGAGTTCAAACCACCTAGATTCAAATCTTCTTTTCTTATCTTATAAGGGTGTTTATTGAGCGAGTACTCCACAGCTTTGCTTTTATTTACTATCTTTAGCAGCATAGATTTCCCTCCTTCCTGCAGCCTTTTCTGTAGTCATTTTTTGGCTTTATGCTTCCCCTCCCCTCCCCTCCCCTCCTAAGGTCTATTAAATGCAAACAATAAAAATTATGGCAAACCTTGATATTTTCAATGCACATATAATACATTTTGTAATCATGCCAGATTCAAAACTGTTAA